TATATATATATATATTAACTAAGTTATTTATTTATTTTATAAAAATTTGAAGGATTTGAAAACATAACTATATATCAATACTGAAAAATCTAAACTTGATAATCATTTAAAGGAGTCGATGTTCCATCATCCCGTAGTTTTAATATCTTAGCTTATTGGAAAGAAAAATAAATGTATTAATCTTGCAAAAATGTCTTGTTTGTGATATACTAAGGATTTCAATAACCAATGTGATCTTATAATCCATTTTTAGTATTGACTATCAATCTTTGAACAGGTATAGAAGTTCTTTGTGAGATAAAATATATAATTCAAGCTCTCTTGTAAACACATAATTAGTAACATAATTTTATAAAAATGGTAAATTAAATTATTTTATAATGTATAATCATTTTTCACGACAAAAACATGTTAATAAAAATAATTATCACATTGTCGACTTTGGAATTTGAAGAAAATAAAAAAAAATAATTAAAAAAGATTTTTAGGGGGGGGGGAGCTAAGCTTGTAGTCCACATAGAGACTTGGGCATCAATTTAGAGAATTGAATTCAATCTAGACTTTTTTGACTCAATTCATTATAACTTATGGCCTGCATTGAGTTAGCTTGCAATTGGTCAGGTAACCCGTTTTGTCAATTCTAGCTTGAATTAAGTGGATTTGTGTCTGAAAACAAACCAAGAACTTTGCTTTTTCATATTGAAATAATTAAGTACTAATGGGGCAAGGCTAAGCTCATAGCCCGCATAAGGTCAAACTTAAACATCAATTTAGAAGACTAAATTCAATCCATACCTTTTTGACTATCAATCTGTTATAGCTCATGACCCGCATTAAAACAACTTGCAACAGGTCAAGTAACCCATTTTGTAAACTCTAACCTAAATTAAGTGCATACATGTTTGGAAATGAACTAAGGACATCGATTTTTCACATTGAAAAATCTTTATATTTTTCATATTAAGGATATGATTTGTTAAATGTAGAATGTATTTCCAAAAAACTCTAAGTTCATGCTAAAACAAGATTTGGCCAATACCCAAAGAGCATAAGAACATGCATCTTGTAATATTATTGAAAAAAAAAAGTAAATAAATGATAGTCTTGGTCACAACAAACCAAAGCAAAGAAGACTTGCAAGATTGGTGTGAAACTTTTGAGTCTCATTTTGGCACATCATCAACAATTTACCTTATACAACAACTGTTACAAAGTTGAGCGGCCTAATGCCTCAAAGGCCTAAATGAGTTGTTCAACAGTCCAGTTGGTTAGCTAATTATATCTAGGAAGTTAACTAGCCATTATGGGATAAACGGGCTTTTATTTTTAAATTGTTTTTCATTCAATAATTAAACCTTGTATTTCCTTTCAGAAAACATTAAAAGAAACTGGTTATATGAATTTGGATACACCTTGCTTCAATCCCACTAACCCATAATTTTCTACCACCACAATTGTACTTCTTCACCCCTTTACCTTACTTCTACCTTCATATCAAATTCATCCTCTTTCATGATCCTCAACTCCTCCACCTATCCCCAATGTCCATCACCCTCAAATACGTCCCCTTAAATTGCAACTCCTCACTTTTGATGGATCTAAGCACATAAATTGGTTGTTTCAAGTCGATCAATTGCAATACTTCATGTTTTATCAAGTTTCATGGGATCAAAGAGTTTCAATCATTGTTTTTTATATGCAAGGGGAAACTTTTAGCTAGTTTAAATGGATGTATCACAATCAACAGTTGGGTGATTGACATTCATTTGTTCGTGCTTTAGAGATCAAATTTGGATCTTCATTGTATGAAAACCATTAGGCTGAATTATTGAAATTAATTAGACAAATTGGTTTCGTGGCAGAATTTCATGCCATTTTTGAGAAATCATGCAATCGGGTGTTTGGTATATCTCCTGATGTCCTCAAAAATTGTTTTATTTCAGTTTTGTTACCTGAAATCCAAAATGAGATGACGTTATTTCAACCCCAATCGATATCTCATGCCATTGGGCTTACAAGATAATTGAGGCAAAATTAAAGGATACCAAACCTTGTAGTAACCTTCTTTCTTGGAAGATCTCTCAAGAGAGATCATTATTAAATGTTAGACAATGAACTTTATATTGAAGGTTTGTTTATGAATAATTCGCTTAAGAACATCTAAGGAACATGGTGGTATTGATTCATGAATCATAACTAAGAAATCATTTTAAATTTCATATTTGAGTTTTGAAAAGCCTAGGTTTTTTTTATTCATTGAAAAGCCTAGGGTTAGAACAGTGAAAAGTAAATCCAACATTTTATTTCATTGTTACATTTATAATGCATTTTAAAGCATTTTTTTATCAAGATATTTAAAAGTCTCAAACAAACATGCACCAAAAATGTAAAATTTCGATACGTGAAAATAGTTGTTCATGCCATATTCCAACAAGGCAACAAGATAATTCAAATTCTGACAAGTTAACAATGAGATTTAATGTCGTTATAACGAGGAAAATGTAACACGAAATTAAAAAAAAAAAACAAAAAAGATTGAAACGTGAATTAAAGTTAAAGGACTAAAATACTAATTTAACCATTATTTTTTCATTTATTTCCAAGTTACATTTTGCATTAGTTAACTCCGTATAAAAAACTTACACTCTTTTTAATACTATTTTTGTTATTGAATACAATCCCATATTGATTTGATAATTGATTAGTAAAGAATGAATCTAAATTATTTAATAAAATTAACATAAATTCTAACAAATCATAAAGAAAATAATTAAATTTAAGATTTAAATATATTTTTAATTTTTTAAAATTATGATAAATTTATTTTTGGTCCCTCAAATCTAAAATTATTATTTTTAGTCTCTATAATTTAAAAAAAAATCTTGTTTTAATTTTTTAGGTCATCAATAATATATATGAAAATCACAAATTATTACAGTTATGTAACATCAATTGAATTTGATATGATATTTTTATTAACAAAAACATCAATAGATAAGTTTTATGTGACAATATTTGATAGATTTTTTTTAATAAAATTTAATTATAATAATTAAAACAAGATTTTTTATATTACAGTGACTAAAAAATTAATTTTAAATTTGAAAAACTAAAAATAAATTTAATTTAAATTTAAGTATTAAAAACATATTTAAACCTAAAATCAAACATCAAATAATATGTTTCTAACCACTAGGGTTAGCCTAGTGGTTGGGTGGGGAGGGGTTGGGGTAATTAGAAACATGAGAACCTAGTTTCAATCCTCATCGCGACCATCTTTGTAATCTTTGCAATCTTTACCCAAAAAAAAATAATATATATACTAACGTTCTGCGTAAAGTTTCATAAAAATGGCGGTTAACTTTCCTTCACATTTCATGTTAAATTTATTGCCAGATGTTTGTCCCATTAATGCGCAATTTCAACCTGTTACCATCCGCTAGTATGGGTTCAAATTACAGGCATTAGTTTTTCTTTCCCATGCAAGTCAAAAGGAAAAAAGAAAAAAGAAAACAAAACAAAAAACAAAACGACGAATTGAACTTTGCTTTCTCCGATACACACGTGAGTAGAATTTTTTACAAAATTCAGTCAAAAAAATAAAGAAATTTTTATTAAATAAATATTGACCACAAATGCAAGCATTAACGAAAAAAATGGGAAACTTTTTATCGAACATATTAATATGGTCAATGCCACTGGTGATCGGATCTCCGGCGGAACTTGTTATCCAACATTATTAATATGGTCAAACATATTTTTCAACTAATTAAAAAAGTTAGAAACTAACTTAAAATACTTGTCAAACATTTTCTTGAAATGAGATGATGCCTACGGGGTAAAACGTAATTATAACAATTGATTGAAAAATTAATAATTGAAATTGTAATCAATGAATGTATACAAATAATAAATTATGGAATTGTTAAAATTATTAATTTCATATAACTATACTTTATTTTCTAAAGTATATAAAAGAAACTATGATTTTAACTATTATCTTTTCTATCGATAAATATAATTATACTTTATTTTCTAAAGTATGTTTCATTGACTTCAAGGGATTCAATTTACGTTGCACCTTCGCTCTCAAATCTCAATTTCCCCTGCAAACAAAAACAGTAAATCTCCAAGATAGAATTTTTTTATGGACAAAATTCAGGTACATTACCACAATTACGGTTAGTGTTATTTTCTATTTTAAATTTACTCTTGATAATATATATTTATATTTAATACAATCTTTAAAAATGACTAAGTTTCTGTTTTCAATGTAACATTAATTTCTTTTTAGTTTATACCATAGTAAATTCTCTAAACACCACAAATAAAAATAATATATTTATTAAAAAGGTTAAACCACTTTAGTTTAGTAAATGAGTTATATCAAAAAGTGATATACTTATTATTATTTTTAATCTATATATAAATCTTAAACTGCAATTATTTTAAGAAGCAAAGGAGTATCAAACTTCTGCAACGACAGGGGTTCCCTGTAGCGAAGCTTTGTGACCAAGTTCCGGAGCAACATATCTACCCCACAAGACCCTGTTTTGGTTCTTTGGCAGGGTGAGTGGGAATAAGGGTTGTGAGGATTTCAGGACAGCAGGATTAGAACCCTGCTCATGAAGCTTAGGTTAGGTCCTACTAGTTCTTAGTTCTTACTATCATGATGGCTTATTCATTTTATGACATATTTATTGGTGTCATGGGTAACATAAGAATAATATTATTATAATTGATAATAAAAATGAAATAACAGAATGGAAACTTATTTGGTTCCATTATAAAATATCTAAAGAATGGAATGACATTTTATTTTATTCCATTTTGTCACATTCCATTCCATTTTATACCACTTACCATTAAATATCCAAACACAGACTTACTAGTTTGAGAACATATAATAAGACTATATTTTGAATTACAACAAAAGCAGTCTGGAGATGAAATCGGGAATAACATGCCGTTCCAACAAAAGCTCTATAAGATTGGTTAAATTAAAAACACCGACTACTTCAGATCGTGCTCGCACAAAGATGCCATCTCAATCTGTACCACAACCACAAATAACAAAAGTACACCAAACATTAATTCAACTAGCCAGGCAAAAAGTACAAGCAAGATAAATCTGTAATTGACATTTCATGCTATCAACCATAAAGGGTAAGTGACAATAAACTTGAAGCTCGACTAATACCAGTTTCAAACTCTTAATAAATTTTACAAATAATTCAGGATTTTAGTCCCTTGCGTACTAATTATTTTTTCAGACTTACAATTCACCATGCAATTTTGACAACTCATAGAAAATGATCGTGTAATGCCAGTCCCTCACATTAGAATAAGAATTTTAGATATGGTTAACTACGTGGGCTTAGAATAACTTGACAGTTGCAACATTCTTAAAAATGTCTAATAATTAACCAACAAGTTTTTTTTTAAAAAAAATTCAAAAAGTATACAAGAGTTACTTCTTAAAATAAAAAAACTGTTTATTTAAAAAAAATCAAAAAAATAATTTTAAAAAAGTATTTATTTTATTAAAATAAGCACTTTTATAAGAATTTTTTTTTTTTTTTAAACAAACGGACCTAATTCTCAAAGCTGAATGAAGCTCTTTGTTAAACCGAACTAGCATAAGAATAGACCCATCTACCCCTTCTCAAAGCACACTTTACTCATGTAATGAGAGTGTTCAAGAACCAGTCCAAACCATTGAACAAAAAAGTTAAAAACAGGAAGGAAAAAAAACGCATTTTTATTTGGGTTCTTTATAGTTTTCAGTTCCGTGTTTAAAACTGAACCCAACCAAATAGAAGTAGAACTGCGTACATCTTAAACAATTTTTTTTCTATTTGTGATTCGTAATTTAGACCTTTCTATGATTTATGATGAGATTTAACACTTTGAACAAGTTCTTTTCTAAAAATTATAATGTATTTGACTTTTTATTTAGTAAGTTTTGTGGCTTAAGTGAAAAATTAAACAATAGAGGAATTCATGTATTGCTTTGAGACTATTCTTACTCTAGCTAATGAAATTTTAAATGTTTGATTACTAAAATATAATGTTTGGTACCTTTACAAAACCAAAATAACTAATTGAATCCAAATTGCAAAAGATCATATTGGATTAGTTCGGATTTAATATTATTGTCGAACCAATCCAAATTAAATCATAAGTTAGTTTTATGATTCAGACGGTATTGTCTAAAAATTGATCCAAATCGAACCATGCACCTTTAGACCCTCTACCATGCTAATATGTAATTTTGATATCCTAATAATTTTTGCTCAAATTTAATCCCTATTCTTTTAATTGCTACAATCAAGTTATTCTCAGTCCACTTAAATCTTCTGTTTCTATTCAAAATCTCGACAAACTGAACTGATTAAGACATTTTAAATCCTCCTATGATTAAAACACATCAATTGAAACATTAGAGTTCACTTTAAATCAGAAAATCTCAACTTTTCCCTGTTAAAACCCCGAATCTCACTTCCTACAGAATCCCTCAAAATCTTACCAAATTCTTAGAATGTGAAAAGTTCAGATCGTTTTCTATCAAAATAAGACCCAAACCCAAATGATTTGAGAAGAAAAGGACCATTTAAGGGTCTTAGGTAGAACGAAACTGACTATAGGACTTGATTAAAAACTAATGGAGAAGCAAAATCATGCACTAGGTATAATAAAAGAACCAAAAATGCAATTAATTTGATTGCTCAATAGAAAAGGTAAAAAACTGAACCAGAATTCTCTTTCTTTATCATCAATAGAATCATTGTTCCAATTCATTAAGAAATAAGACATACACTGTTGGACATGTAATAAAATCATTAGAGCCTTTGCCTAACAGCTTATGTTCTTGAGATAGTTAGCTCGTGACATTGTATCAAAATGAGCATGTTAGAGAGAATAAAATCATTTTGGACTTTCACCTAACAAGTTAAGCTTTTCACATAATAATTCTTTCATGGCATATACAAGGTTAGCTGGATAAGATATATGAAAACTACAGCAGAAAATGAGTATAAAAGTTAGATAGCTTCATATAAATTTTAAAAATAATTATTGCATAATTACTTCATAATATCAAGTTATCAACTTACAGCAGTCAATGCAGCCTCAGCACCCTTATTCCCAGACTTGCCACCAGCTCGATTTAGAGCCTGCACTTGGCCAAAATTGAAAAAATCAAAATCAAAATAATCATAAGTCTCATCCGCAAATAAGAAATTTCATAACTTTCATAGTAAATACTTACCTGATCCATATCTTCACATGTAAGGACACCAAATATGCATGGAACACCTGTAAAGGCATCTCAAATGATTCAATGTTCCAAGTTGATGGTAATTAATGAAACAAAAGTGAGTAACAAATACAGACAATAACAATAATTGTCCCCGGTCAAAAACCAAAAGAAAAAAATAATCAGGTGCACTCTTATACTGACAAGCTTAGAGGAAACATATAGTTTCAGTATTTTATTCAGCGAATAGTGAATACCAATGTTAAAGTTAATTTGCGCAATGTGCTATTGATAAAAAAAAGTATCATGTATAAAATAATTCTAAGTTTCTAACATTTCAAGAGTTTCTTCTAAGCCTTGAATCTAGATTCTACAAAAACAAGTTGTCATGTCAAAGTTGCATGCATATTTCATTTCCCAGAAAACAGACAGCAGTTGAATACTCAAACATGATTTGTTCATATCTGGATATCACAATCGACATTAACAGAATATTACCTGAGTCTAGACTGGCTGAAAGCACTCCAGATGCTGCTGAATTAGCAACTGCATCATAATGGGTTGTGTCTCCTCGTATCTGTTAACAAGATTGGTCACAGTAGAAGCTCAAATTCAGTAAACATAAATATGGATAATGGGTTTTCATTAATCATAAAAATATTATAAAATAATTTAATCTATTTGTCAAGATTTATCATACCACAGCTCCTATGCATATGATTGCATGATATTTGCCTGATTTTCCTAGTCTTCTTGCAACAACACCAATTTCAAAACAACCAGGTACCCACACAACCTAAGGGAGAAGGGAAAGCAACAAGTTTCTGTCAACATTCAACTCCAGAAATAAAATGATGTGAAAATTCAGAATAGGGCAAGTCTTCTCCAACTCATACATTATTGAACATTTTTTGCTTGTGAAAACAATAGCAAATAATTTTTTTTGTCTAAAATCATGACCAATGGAGACACAATTATACGACTAACACACAAAGCCAACACAAATAGATAAAATATATGAAAAAGATTGTGTTAAGGTAAAAATTGGCAAATGTTTTCAAATCTAAAATATCTGGTTAGCCAAAGATAGGAGAGCTGAAATGAAAAAGAATGGCCTCTAGTTTTAGCCACAAGCATGAACACTCCAAAATAGTAATAGTGCCATGTTCTACCTGGGTTAAACATGTATCTGTGTCAGACATTTCGAATATTTTACCTTAATATTTTCAACTTACATGATACACATGAGGACATACAAAAAAAATTGGATAAATGGTCATATTTTATTTTGTCTACTATGACTCGTGCTCATTTTTAAAACATTAATTCTCTTTTTTGATTTGAAATTTCTGATTTATGTTTGTTATACTTATATTATATATCATGTCCTATAATTTCTAAAATTTGTCGAATTCTCACATTCTTGTCATATTATATCCACATCCTATGTCATATCCTTGTTTTTTAGGTTTTAACCTCTAACTATGAAAAGCATGCATAAGTTTGCTTTACTTCATATTCCAATAAAACTGAATATTTTACAGAACAAAAAAAAAAGTGAGAAAAACAATAAATTTTCAAAAAGGATACTAAGAAGAGACTCATTGCAAAACCACCAGAAGAAGATCAATATTAAACCATGGATACTAACCAAATTACAAAAGCAACAGTGCAGATTCCAAATAATGAATATTCCAAGAATTTATAAGACAGCTTACTTACATCAATGTCCTCATCTTGAACTGAATAATTCTTGAGAGTACCCAAAGCTCCCTTCAAGAGCGGCCTGGTAACTATTTCATTAAATCGTGCAACAACCTAAAAGTTGACCAAATAGAAGTGAGCAAAGAAACATAAAATAATAAGAAAATCTCTATATTGCAATTTACAATCCAGTTTGAAGTAGAAAACAAATGCAAAATCTTTAAGCAGAATATCATAACTTCCTCGTGATTGACTACTACATTATTTCTCTATTTCATATCCCCATCTCCAGTTTTTGTCCTCTCTGCAACACCATCCCATTTGCACATTCCATTCTTCCACTTCTTCAAATTTCCGTTATTTTCAAAATCTTTATCAATCCTGAAAAAGCTTTAGAATTGGAATTCACCCTTGCTGTGTTTCACAATTTTATCATCTTCATAAGTGGGCAATAGGAATTAGGCACTAGACTCTGTTGGAGCTCCTCATTCATTCTCCAAAGAGAGAACTTTATTCCTGCAATCCAACTTAAGAAGTCCAGAATTCCTTCTAAGGGGAAGTCTATCATTGGGCCTATTGTGTTTAATATGATTAACACATATGATTTGTTACATATTTGCAGATCACACAAAGCTCTCCAAATGTTTGTGGTGTGCCATTAGCAAATATATATAGTACAGATTTTTTAGTATTTTGAGAGAAAACTAGAATTGTTCAAACAGTTTAACGATGTTAGAGGTTCTGGGAGGAGTAACATTGGCGACATCCTTTAATGGTGCAATGTACTTGTGTGGAATAATTTGGTCTTAGCTTTTTGTGATCCTTGGGTGCTATGGCTGGTGAATATTTTAGAGGGAACTATTTGTTAAATGCATAGAAAGACTGGTGTGCTCATCTCACTTGATATGTTCTTTCCTGTTTTCATCACCGTCTTTAGAATAATATATTATCCTCTACCCCCTGTATTTTCTTTCTCTTGAGTCTTCTTTAATGAATTTCATTTTTTTATACAACACGACAGTAAAAACTTTTAGTCATAAACCAGAACTGCATAAAAGCCATTTAGATGTAAGTCCCTTTTACTGGTTTATGTTTTACTTGGTCTCCTTCTTCCTCTAATCACTATGCTATCCTCCATATGAGCAATTCTTCTTACTAGTGTTTGTATGGTTCTTCCTCACATGACCAAGCCATCTTAGGCAAGATTATGATTGTGGGTCCATTTGTTTAAACTTAAAAAGAAGTGTTTCTAAACAAGTGCTTTTAAAAAAAAAACAATTCTTTAAAATGCAGATATGAGTTGCTTCTAAAAAAAAAAGCAAAAAACTGCTTATTTTAAAACAAGAAGTTTAGACAAACACATCAAAAAATAAAAATAAAAATAAATGCTTATTTTATTTAAGAAAAACACTTTTATAAGAAAAAAAAGTTTAAACAAACAGACCCTATATTGTCTCTTCCTACTTTCTTTGTAAAGGCATTCATTCCTGATCTTATTTTGACTTGTGATTGTAAGTCCAATCATCCACATGCTCACACGTTAATACTGGAAAGTTTCCAATGATTGTGTCCCGGGAAAAAGTATCAAAACAGTTCCTTTTATATATAAAGGGGCAGTGTCAGTCCTAGACTACTGTAAATGCTAATAGTTGAGGGAGGCCATCTTCAAGGGGGTAAATGATAAAAACTTCACAGGGTCAAAGCCTCCCTCAACCTATGAGAGGCACCACCCCTATATGGGTGAGAAACAAAAGTTTTTGAAGAATGACATAGATGCAGTAGCATCTTAGCATTTTGGCATATAATACATCTTGTATTTTACGTTTGAGAGTGCTTATGTTTCTTAGGTGTACAATTTCCAATGTACATGATTTTTTTATGAACAAAGTACAATAGAGTCTCAATCCATATAGAATCAATATTCTGATTTCTTGTAGGATAAATTATTTCAGGTCTATTAGACATTACTAGCGCTTTCTTTTCAATGGGTGATCAGATGTATGAATTATGGAAACATATTGCTATTTTCTTTATTGGTGGTGAAATCAAACCCCAGGTGAATGCCAAGCCCTTTCTCCTCCTCTCAATTTCTACATTGTTTTATTAGTTTTAGTGGGATGCCAGACCAAATTCTCTTGGAAGACACCTTAAATAATTTAGCCAATTAAAGCCCTAACTGATTCTTTAAACCCATGACCCATCCCTAAGGTTTGCAAGTCCTCCTTAATCCTTATCTCCATTCTGCCTATTCTTTTACCATGGAAATGAGATACATACCACACCAAAACGAAGTCCCTGGGTTCTGGTAACAGAACCTGTCAGATGCCTCACAGCAGCTGTCTGTGAAAAAGATGACCGACCGTTGCTCTGAACAGCAACATGTGGCTTATTTTCTGAAGCTATTAAAGGAAAGCAGAGAACTGATCAGACACCAAAACAGGTGAATGCCAAAAAAAAAAGAAAAAAAAATGGCCACAATTAAGAATGGGATAAAGCATCCTGAAATTTTGTATTCCTTGATGAACACAACAAACATCAAACAAAACTTCAAAAATAGTACACTTCATTAAGTCTATCACCAATCATCAAGACAGTAAAAAGGATTAGGAATATAACCTCTCACAGAAAGCAGAAACGAGAGAGACCTTGAGCTTTTAGGAGCATTTTGAAGATGTAAGATGCTACTACCACCACACAAAGGGTCTCGGTCATGTACAAATCCAAGCCTAGACTGGTGATTAGGAAGGATACAATCGGTAGAAACAAATGAAGCCATTCTTCTGGTTTAAAGATGATAGCACCCACTTCCAGATACAATATATATATCCACAGGCTAAAATCAAATATAGTCAAAACAAGGCTAAAATCGTATACATAGTCAAAATTGCTCAATTCATTTTATTTTTTTTAACCTTACTCAATCCTCATAACATTTTTTTTATAATTAAGAAACCACTTCATTCCCAGAAAAAGCTAAAACAAAGGGATTATATCATAACAATTTCAAGCTACTACAGATGAGACGAACCGAGCTGAATATTTTAAAGCATTACTCACCTAACGAATCAAGATGGACTCCACAGGAAATCTAAAGCGAAAACCTAATGTTTGCTAAAATGAGTTGTCTAAACAAAATTATTCGCCACATTCAATAAATAAACCGATTCGTGAACCACTCGGACGAATTTTTTATTTGCAACGTGAACCTAACAATAACAATATAACACTACAGACGTGGTGCATAAAGCAAGTTAATTGAAGTTCGGTAACGAAAAGCTAAAGGAAAAGAAAATCACCGGAAATGGAGTGGACGACGGTGAAGGCGCGGCGGAGGAATGGAAGTGAGAGGGAAGTGGATATTTGCTATTTATACTCCCTTTTTACTTATACACTCTCCCGTCCCGTTTTAAAATATAGTAAAAATATATATAAAGAAAAATATTTAACATGCTTGTTTCGGTGCGTTTTTTGTATCATTTAAAAATTCTAGATGGTCGAAATTCGTGGTTAATTTATCTGTTCATTAAAGTAAAATTTTAATAGACATCATAGTGAAAAGGAACTTCAAATTCGAATCAGATTTCAAACTATTTATGTAAAGTATTTATTGTTCGATGGATGAGTTTGGTTTGGTGATTTAAAAGTAATTTATTTTCTAAACATTTTTTAAAAAAATCAACTAGAACTCTCCTCTTCGTTCTTCATGCCATAATGCACGTAGTTCATAGTGAATTAAAATCTGTATAGAATAAAAATATTTTAAAATATTTGAATAAAACTAATACACTGGACCACTAGCTAATAGAAAAGGGTTCGAATATGTCTCATGTAAACTTATATTTAAATCTCATTATCTTCTTAACCATTATAGTCGGTGTAGGGACTGAAGTATTATATATAGAGCTGTAGATTCAAACTTTAATATCTTTATGATAAAAAAAAAAAAAAATCTCATTATTACCTTCATGTAAAAAATTAAAAAAAAAATCGCATCAAACTAGTTATTTACATAATATGTGCATGATTGACGGTATCAAAATCCCTCCCATTGTGACACCAACAATATTAAAAAAAGTTAAGAAAGTATTAATTATTAAATTTTATAATAATAGTTAAAGTTAAAATATTAACAAATCATTAATTTGGATGAAATTAGATTTGGTATCTTTAAATAAGGTCTTCACTTTCAAGCCTCGGTCTTTACCATAGATTAAAAGGATTATATAAAAAATTATATAAATTTTAAAAATTACACCATTTTTTAAGTAATTACGTAATATTAAAACTTAATTATTTATGCATAGATTAAAAGGATTTTCTTATATTATTTATAATTATTATTTAATAAAAAAATATTTAACTAAACTTTTACTTTTCAAAAATTATAATTAGTTAATTATTCATTTTATTTTATTTTCTAAAATCATTACACCAACTCTGTGAGAAGAAAAAAAAAGGATTGTTTTTTCTTCATGAAATCAAACACCAATTATAGTCATAACCCTAGCATGATGTTTCAGTTTTATTTTAGAAGAGAAATTAAAAAATAAAGTTAAATTTGTTATATAGAGCATGCATGTTTTATCTCACGAAGTAGTTAAGCAAGTAAGCAAACATCGAAGACACACTGCATATACATAGAAGAAAAACTATAAAATATGCTCAAACTCAAATTAATCAATTTTAAAATGTCATTTTAAAAATTCAAATTTGCATTTAGATTTAAACCTTTCACCTTTAGGAATAGAGTAAACAAAGATTTGTGAAGATGACCACAACATCTTTCACCTTTCGGTGAAATCCTTTTCCCTGTGATTTATAATCGTTCTCTTTGCAATTTTTCCCTTTCATCATTCCTATTTTTTTAGTGTGCTAAAGTTTTTTTTTTATATATACTTTCTTGCAAATCCTTCCCCTTCGTTTTTTTCTGGTTTGTGATTCTCGCAAGCTTTTTGCACAACAAATAAAATGTACTCTTTTTTTTTTTTTAAGAAATCAAATGTACTTTGTAACCACCCGCCATAACCATCACACTACGCAACACACAGCTCGTTATACAATAAACACATACTAAGGCAGTAGTATATATATTTAATCATTCTACATCTCCTTGATCTGTACAACCATATACAAGTGTCTACTCAAAACATCTAACAACAGTCAGCTAGGCTACAAAATAAAACCCAACTTCAAGCTCCGCTCTATGGCTCTATTGTTGTTTTCCAACTTATCCTTGCTTTGCTCCCATATATAGTATGATCATAGCAGTCCAAACTACATGGAAACACGCAAGGGTAAGCTAGTGAAAATAATCAACATATATACATAAACAACTTACAACTCAACAACAAAAGCAACATCTTTTACAGTTCGACATACAACACATAACAATACCCAACTCAATCACAGCTTCACAACACCACAACATATATACAACTTAATCAACACAAGATCAACACATCAACAACTAATGCATCATCACGCATTTCAACTTGGAGATCTTCTACAACACATGGTGAGCAGTCTAAGTGGCTAGATCCTACCGAACCGACTGATGAGTCATTATTTTCCCCTATTTTCTTACCTTTCTGTACTTATTTTAATCTCTGATTTGCGCTTAACTGTTGATTATCTCCACTGTTTTCTATTTGGGCTTTAATTGGACTGGTAATTCATATTTTAACTAATTTGAATTTTCTGAATCTAATTATTCCAAATTTCATTTTCAGGGCAGTTTAATAATTATTTGGGCTTGGAATCAATTTCTGGACTTCAAGTGGAGCTGCCACGTCATCTGCCACATCATCTGCCATGTCACCACTGCACCATTTTTCCACCTCAGCATTTAATTTCAATCTGTATTTTATTTTATTGTATTATTGGGTCAGACTTGTATGATGGGGGCCCAATTTCATTTTAGGTCAACTGCACCTAGGGTAGGGCTGACTGGGCAGCACTAACATGAGAGGCTGATGTGACTACGTGAACAGTAGCCTCCTTCACCATTCCAGACGTTTTTGCCTTTTTTTTGTTCTTCTGTTTTACGTTTTGCTCTCTTGTAGCCCAGTTTCACGTTTTGCTCTATTTAGCTGCCATTTTCGTTTTACTTCTTTCTTCTCTTTATATATGCATTTTTGTATCTGAATTGAACCATTTGCATTGAATAAATACTTTCGTTTCCATTTCCAAGGATAACACATTATTTTCAAGGCGAGAAGAGATGTTATAGTTAGAATTATGCATGTCATATATATATATAGAGAGAGAGAGAGAGAGAGAGAGAAAATGCCCTTAAGAAGTTCGCTTACTTCAAAAATTGACTAAAGGGCACTTTATTCTCAAGGAGAGAACTAGAGAAGGGATGTAATCTTTTAAAATAGAAGGGAGGGTAGTAGGGAGCATAATTTACCTAATATATCTGAAAAGTGAAAACTAAGTGACATTTGTGTAATTATTATTAAAAACAAAAAAATGGAAACAACAGAATATTGCTACGCGTCAACAGAATATTGTACGTGAAATTTAGCGTAGGCAGCATTTCATGTATCTACCTTCCATATAGGATTTGTTAAATATTATATTAAAATTTATCATATTTTGTAATTAGTTCTGTCTGCTAGAATTTGCTTGTACAAACCAGTCATTTCATGCTAGATTTCTTAATACATTTTTCATTTTTGAGAAACTTAAATAATATTACTTTCCTCATTGATTATCATAATCATTTGTAGGCAAAAAAGCTTTGCTGAGTCTGTGCTACGGCGCTTTGAGGAAAACTAATGTATGCATGTTTTTCTTTTCTTTTTTTTTTTTTCAAAATCAAAGGAATTCCCTTTGAACAAAGAATTTCATAATTGAAGCATGGGTACTCCTAAAATCATGTCGTACACATACCAGGTACATACTCATACCTGCTGTGCCTGGTACACTTTGGATACTTACCAAAAGCATTTTCCAACAATAAAAGTTGGGTACTTATGGGTACATATCAAGCTCGAACCCCTAGTCTAATAAATAAAGCATTGTCCATTAGTGAATGAAAAAAAAATTCCTTTGATTTACTTGCTATCATTCATGTTATTGTTGTGTATGTGTGTCCTTACTTGTGTATGGCATAAGAGACTCTTTGTTCTTGACCACTTAAAATCATATTGAGTACCATGTATAACTCATTCCAAATCAATCATTGTGAATCATTTGAAGATGAATGACATTCATTTTAAAGATTGGCTTTCTTGAAGTTGTTACTCTTTCTCTTGATGAACAAAATTTAGAGATGATTCTTTTCATAATATTGGTTGATAAAAAAAATTATGAGATTGAAATTGTTAAAGTGTGATATCATGGTCATATTTAGGGCCTATAATATTGATTGATGAACATTTACATGTTGTAGTTTTTTCTTATGAGTTTTTTTTGCCGTTTTGAAGAATTTAACTCCTTTTATGTTGTAAATTAGGCTTATTTGTGTTTCTTTATTATTTATACAATTTAATCGTGTTTATATATAATTCTTTTAATTTATGTACATTTTTTAAGATTTACATTAACATACCTGTACCTTAGATTTTTGAAAAATCTCATCCCGTACCTGTACCTATACTTGGTATGGTACTTATATCCATGCAACGTATTCATTAATAAATCAAATGAATTTTTTTCAAATTTTGCAATTTCAGATGTAAAGTTTGTGTTTGGCCTATTAGTCTATCTTTTATGCTTCTCATGTTAATGTCTTACTTTACTGTAATCTTTTTCTGGACATGAAATGTGTCTTATCTGACTCTGCAGGGTACTAGTATTGACATTAGGTTGGATTATATTTCTTTCATCCTTCATTCCTGTGAACTTCCTCCTGAAAGGAAATGATGATATGAGGCGAAAGATTGAGGTATCTATTCAGCTTATTCTTGGTTTTCCATTTTGTCCCATTTAAACAATTTCAACATAGAGTTATGTTTCTCGGTTTTGCGCACTAGGAAAGTAGCATTTAATGTCTGATAGCTTGAAATTTTAAGACATCTTGGAAGTTCAAACTTACTAAGTCCTTAAAAAGTAAAAGAGAAAAGCGTCAACTTTCTGAGTTATATTATCTTAAAATGCAAAATGAACTCCTGGTTCTCAGTTGTCTTACTGGTACTGAGTGGAAAATAATTTATAAGAGTACTAATAAAAATACCAGCTTTTTTGAATGGCTAATTTAGACAACTGAAGATTCTGTAGTTGTTGAAAAATAAAAATACATGTGGATAAAAGCTGTTATTTTACGTGAATGCAACAGATTTTGGCCAATTCACAGGAGGACATAATTTGTTTTTCCCTTCATTTTTTAAATATCTACTTACTTGATTGACATGCTGTATGCAGCTTAGTGCATGGCATACGATGTATACAACTTCTAATTTACTCTTTATTTTCATTCCGTTGGATGGATAGCAACTCCAATGTACTGACTTGCTGCGTATCAAATCAATGTCCTCTAAATTGCTCAATTTTCATTTCTTTCAGAGGTGTTTGGTGGAGATGATTTGCAGTTTCTTTGTTGCATCCTGGACCGGGGTTGTCAATTACCATGGGCCAAGGCCTTGTATGCGACCACGACAGGTTTGTCTGATGTATATTGATGTTTCCATGTTCTTATTCACATTTTCATAAAAAATGTGAATGTATTTATTAAATCTGGATTTCCCTTTATTGAACAGGTTTTTGTGGCCAATCATACTTCCATGATTGATTTCATTATCTTAGAACAGATGACTGCATTTGCTGTTATTATGCAGAAGCATCCTGGATGGGTTGGTAAGTGTATAGGGCTGTTGTGTTTGCTTTAAATACACAACAAACCTTGTCTATATCATCAACAAAATTTTTTAATCTATATTTTCTTGTGACATAGCATATCTGGGTGAATAAATTTTTGAGAATAATTGTGCTGACACAATTCCACACTTCTTCTGAGATATCTCCTGTATATTTTAAAACTCCTGTTGTAATGAAAATTTGTTTTCAAAGCGGAGAATGTGAATAATGTGCATAATATACAAGAAAGTTTGTTTTTAATGTATAATTGTTTATTTGCATGTGGCTTGCCATATCTGGGTAATTTGGTTTTCAAGAATTAGTATAACCAAGCCTTGTTATACTAGGAGTCTGTTTGTTGCAACTTTTTAATGAAAACATACTTTTATTTTGAAAAAAAAAATCAAATTTTTTTAGTATATTTAAGTCACACTGAAAAGAAAAATATTTTTCATTATTTTGAGTAATTTCTAGAAAAACTGAAATTGTACTACCTTTTGAATTAAAAGTGGTTTTTATAATATAGCCAAACAAAAAAAAAATCTGCTTTATATAAAATCTCTAAATAATAAATCATCTTTTTACACAATCTTTTTTTCTTTTTGGTCCTGCACTTATCAACACAAAATCTTAAAATCATTTTCTTTTACAAGTTTGAACAAACAGGCCCTAGGTGGGGTCAGCTATATGTACATGGATGATGGATCCACTTATAACCAGATTATCTTCCATTCCATCTACTTTTCACACTAGGGCATCCTTTGATCTTCTCATCACAGCCAAATTAATTATGCTAGAGCAGTTTTTGTCACCTCTCCTCAATAGGCGCTACTACATCTTTGATCTTTCTATTATAGTACATTTGTTCCTAAACTATTTTTTTCTTGCATGTCTACTCTCATCCAGCTCTATTTTCCTTAAAGTTTGAGGGGCACTTTACAATCACATACTATGCCTGATAGCTGATGCATTTCTTCATTTCATTCACAGGATTATTGCAGAGCACCATTTTGGAGAGTGTAGGGTGTATCTGGTTCAATCGTTCAGAGGCAAAGGATCGAGAAATTGTGGCAAGGAAGTAAGTATAATTGAAAATGTTGGGAAGTATATACCTCAAATCTTATTCTTACATGACTTTTCATATTTCAGATTAAGGAATCATGTTCAGGGAGCCAACAATAACCCTCTTCTTATATTTCCTGAAGGAACTTGTGTAAATAATCACTACACTGTCATGTTCAAGAAGGTATTGGATCATTTGCAATTGCATTAAATGGGAAATGCCGAGTTTTACACTTTTGCTCATACATTATGCTTTCCTTTTCCTCTTTAATTTTCCCCCTGTTTACTTGTATTCTAATTTCTGTCGTCTGAAAGTTTTAATTGAAGCCTCTTGTAATTTTAATGATGTTTAGGGTGCATTTGAACTTGGCTGCACAGTTTGCCCAGTTGCAATCAAGTACAATAAAATTTTCGTCGATGCTTTTTGGAATAGTCGAAAGTAAGAAGAGGCTTGTTACATGTTATTAATTATTTATGTTTTTATTCATTTACTTTTTTCTTGTATTGCTGTATAAGAGTTGCTGCATCTTATATTTTTGCAGGCAATCATTCACTACTCATCTATTGCAATTAATGACATCTTGGGCTGTAGTTTGCGATGTTTGGTACTTGGAGCCACAAAATCTGAAGCCAGGAGAGACACCCATTGAATTTGCAGAAAGGTAAAAGATCTTAGTTTCAGATTTTATGGAATATGCAGTATGTGGTAGCATGTGCGTAAATGTCTACATTTTTCAAGGCATTGAAATGTTATGTATTATTTCAATGGTGTAGGGTGAGAGACATAATCTCAATTCGTGCTGGGCTTAAAAAGGTTCCTTGGGATGGATATCTGAAGTATTCTCGCCCTAGCCCAAAGCACAGAGAAGGAAAGTATGTTCAATTTCCCAATCTCTCGACTATGATATTGTATTTGTGATCTGGGTATTATAATTAGAATCATATTTATGCATGTCAGAGAGATAGATAGATAAATAGACTAAAGGATAACACATTATTTTCAAGGCGAGAAGAGATGTTATAGTTAGAATTATGCATGTCATATATATATATAGAGAGAGAGAGAGAGAGAGAGAGAAAATGCCCTTAAGAAGTTCGCTTACTTCAAAAATTGACTAAAGGGCACTTTATTCTCAAGGAGAGAACTAGAGAAGGGATGTAATCTTTTAAAATAGAAGGGAGGGTAGTAGGGAGCATAATTTACCTAATATATCTGAAAAGTGAAAACTAAGTGACATTTGTGTAATTATTATTAAAAACAAAAAAATGGAAACAACAGAATATTGCTACGCGTCAACAGAATATTGTACGTGAAATTTAGCGTAGGCAGCATTTCATGTATCTACCTTCCATATAGGATTTGTTAAATATTATATTAAAATTTATCATATTTTGTAATTAGTTCTGTCTGCTAGAATTTGCTTGTACAAACCAGTCATTTCATGCTAGATTTCTTAATACATTTTTCATTTTTGAGAAACTTAAATAATATTACTTTCCTCATTGATTATCATAATCATTTGTAGGCAAAAAAGCTTTGCTGAGTCGGGTAAAAATTCACAACACGATAACGGTTTCTCAAACTTTACCACTTAAACAAGGAAGTATAATATTCTGTTAAGATAGGACAGCTAGGTTTAGGCCTACCACGGCATTAGCTAGCTTAACTAAGCCACTTATGGGATTAGTCTACTGACTATCCTCCAAATACTACAACCCTCTGATACTCAGTTAGGAACTAAGTTTCTGACTTCGTACTTTACTCGAATTGGCCGCTTGTAATCGATATAGCTCGACCTGTCCCCTATACCGTGGTCGCTTCATACACGTGTGCCTTGACCTTGTCCACACACGGGATTAACTAAGTCCTAGAGGAGAACAACACATCATCCACTCCAATGGGCAACTTCCTAAGGAGGGTTTATCAACAAATTGAGCTCTCAGAGCTCCACAACACTCTCAATCCACACAATGGGACGAGCAACTTCGAAAACATCTCCCCTAGTCCCAGTGATCAACAACTCGTCATCACAGCACAATTAACACAGGTTTTATCTCATCATCTCAATCAACTTTCAACTCACAACTTTAACAACACAATTTATCAACACATCATAACAACACAATTCAACTTAACAACTCGAAATAGCTACACAACATCTCAATTCAACTCAACAACTCAGACAACACACAACCTTTCAACTCATATATCATCTCAAATATAGTTATACAACTTTACAACTCAATTTATCAACATATTCTCAACTCATCATGCTACCACAATCATCATTATTCAACATTTTCATCAACTAAACTCACGCTTGGCACAAATCAGCTCGTGCCCCGCCTGAGCCCAACCCGAGAGCTCTAAGGCTCTCCCACGCCCAGTGTAGAATCATCACGCACGACATGTTTATAGGCAGAGACTCCCAGGAGTCTCCACGCCAACGCGCTCATTTTGCGCCCGACATCGTTCAAACAAAGACTTATAGAGGTCTCCGTGCCCAACGCACTTCCACTGTGCCCAACGCCACCCTAGGCAGAGACCCAAGGCCAACATCTGATATCGCGCCTAACGTGGTTCTCCCACGCCCGGCGCGACTTCATCTAGAGACTTTCAATCTCAATCACGCCTTGCGCAACTAACCTCGCGCCCAACGTGAGTTGAAATTGGGTGCTTCCGATGAATGTGCGCTCGGCGCCAAAAACATGCATCCGACGCAACTTCAAACAGCCAACCCCAAAACTTCGACATTTTCTTCAAAAACCTGAAAATCAGTCAACTCAACCACATGCAATCCATGAAATGAAGTGCCTACGCTCCATACAACTCAAAAACAAGCTTAGATTCAACATGCAAGAATCAAATGCATAAAAATCATCAAAAACCCCATTTTTCCCAAAATCCCAAAAAATGAGAACTTCATCAATTCATACATCAATTTGAGTTTCTAAACTCACATACAACCAAACAATTCATAATCTAGTTTCCCTCATCTGAAAATTGACTCAAAATGGTCAAAAATACGAAGAAGAAGATTTCCTCTCGGAGCTCCACCCATAGACTTCAATCCTTCAAAACAAGCTTCCTAGGCTGAATTCCAAAAAAAAAGGTAGAAGGAATTAGTGACCTAGAGAAGAAGAAGAATCCAACATAGAAGTTTGGGAGAGAAAGGAATTCACAGACACAGAGTCCTTCTCTCTAAAATCTCTCTCTAGGTTTTCTTTAAAAATGAACTTATGAGACTTTGTTCTCAGATAAAACCTTAAATATTCTTCCCTCTAGCTTCCACTAAACCCTAAACCAACTCACTAGGTTACATATTTTACTCACTTTTGAGAAACTAGATTGTTATGTACAATGTTTAAATTCGAATTGTACATGGCTCATTAAATGTTTTGTTACTTTTACGTGTTTTTTAATTTAAAATATAATTACCTCGTTAATATTTTACCTACGCTAACAACTTGGGCAATATAACCTATTTTGTCATTTGTGAATGGTGTGATTGGGCTTATTTCTATAGTAACCGGGTCCAACTTTCAACCAATAATAATTGTTGACTTAAATTAAAAGAATTTTAAAGGTTTTAATTCCTTAAATAGTATGTCATTATTTTTATATAATTGTGCGGATGACACTTTTAAAAACCTACTTTTTGTGTGATCTAAATTTGTATATAGCATAGATTAATTTTGAAGGATTTGGTTGGAAGGAAAAATAAAGTCTAATAAGATAAATCAAACAACATATCATGACACGTGAGCTGTTGCGCGATCGTTCAACATGATTTACCCTTTAGATTTGTTGAGTATTGAAAGATTAGAGTTGGATAAAGTATCTAAATTCAAATGCAACTGCTATTACTATAAATATAACAAGGCTTCGCGGGTTTTAACCTTACCTTGTTTTAATATTAAGTTTTTATTGAGGTTATTTTAACCTTGTCCAATTTAAATGATTTTTTTTTTCTTTCATTAAGTCCATTTAGGTTCAAACCGGTATCTTTTAAAATTGAGTCAGAACAAGTTAGGACAAAAAACATGATCTTAAAGATTTGCTAAACAAGAGTAATTTATGTTTGTTTAACCAAATGAAGAGGGAAAAGTGGTATTAATTAAACCATGCAAATTGTCATTATTGTCAAAGAAGAATCAATGTCTTGTCAAGAAGGTGGTATAAAGCTGGCGCAGGCATCGACACATCGAAATGGAAACTTTTGCTTCGCAACTAAGGAACTTCCAACTATAAATTTTGAATGCATGTTAAAAAGGAATGTTAGTTTACATTAGGTTTATATGTTTATGTTTGTGTATGTAGCTTTTAATTATTTCTTTTCCATTGTGAAGCAATATATATATTACATTAAAGAGAATAAAAAAAAATCTTGTGGAACCCTCCAATCCAAGTTTGATTTGCCCTGGTTGTGGCCATGGTGATGATAGTGTATATTTTTTAAAAAATAAATATAAAATATTTTAAAATTAAGTTAGACATCATATTTTAAAAATTATATTTGAAAAGTAATTAAAAATCAATCGCTTCACCCAAACTATGGTACTCAAGCAACCTACTAAGAATTCATACACTGATAAAATCGCAATAAAATGACAACATATTAGTGTAGAAATGGAACAATTTTTTTCACATTTTTTGTTGGAATATTTGTTTGCGGTTTTAAATGTGTTATGAACTTTTTTCTTTCCACATATCATCGTATAATATATCACTAGAGAGGTTAATGTAATTCGTAATCATTTATTTAATAATTACATTTTTTTTATATTTTTATATATATTTTCTTCATTTTATCTTTTATCTATAAAAAATTATTGTATAATTAAATAAATAAATAAGTCCAAAAAAAATAAAAATAATTATTTAAAAATATATTCACTCTATTAATAGTTATAAATAATACTATGAAAAAAGCAAAAAAAAAGTCCTTTTTTTTACATAATAAGAACATAAAAACAAACAGAAAAAAGGATAGCTAATGCCTAAGGTGAACAAGTGAACAAAACGGGTGGCATTCGCAAACACAATAAAATGACAATTTTTATATATTTAAGGTAACATATTTTTAAATAATGATTTCTCATTCTTATAGAAAATCTATTATACCAAAATGTTTTTATGACTTTAAAATTTAGCTTCAAAAACAGTAGATTATAAGATAAAAATATTATTAATTTTTATTTTTATTTTCTTCTAGCACCTACATATATATTGAGTATTTTTGAATATAAGTTAAGAATGCCTTTAAAAATAACTGAAAATGGAAAATATTTTTTAATACTTTTAAGCTTGTATATAAATAGATTTATTGTTCATTTTGAAAATTATGAACCATCTTCATAAAAATGAGCAACTCCTATTTCCTTTGTCATGATATTGATTTGAAAAACATTCAGAAAAACTCCGGGTAAAATTCGAACCTTGAACTAATATGAAACTACGTGAATAGTTTAAGGAGGGTTTATCAACAAATTGAGCTCTCAGAGCTCCACAACACTCTCAATCCACACAATGGGACGAGCAACTTCGAAAACATCTCCCCTAGTCCCAGTGATCAACAACTCGTCATCACAGCACAATTAACACAGGTTTTATCTCATCATCTCAATCAACTTTCAACTCACAACTTTAACAACACAATTTATCAACACATCATAACAACACAATTCAACTTAACAACTCGAAATAGCTACACAACATCTCAATTCAACTCAACAACTCAGACAACACACAACCTTTCAACTCATATATCATCTCAAATATAGTTATACAACTTTACAACTCAATTTATCAACATATTCTCAACTCATCATGCTACCACAATCATCATTATTCAACATTTTCATCAACTAAACTCACGCTTGGCACAAATCAGCTCGTGCCCCGCCTGAGCCCAACCCGAGAGCTCTAAGGCTCTCCCACGCCCAGTGTAGAATCATCACGCACGACATGTTTATAGGCAGAGACTCCCAGGAGTCTCCACGCCAACGCGCTCATTTTGCGCCCGACATCGTTCAAACAAAGACTTATAGAGGTCTCCGTGCCCAACGCACTTCCACTGTGCCCAACGCCACCCTAGGCAGAGACCCAAGGCCAACATCTGATATCGCGCCTAACGTGGTTCTCCCACGCCCGGCGCGACTTCATCTAGAGACTTTCAATCTCAATCACGCCTTGCGCAACTAACCTCGCGCCCAACGTGAGTTGAAATTGGGTGCTTCCGATGAATGTGCGCTCGGCGCCAAAAACATGCATCCGACGCAACTTCAAACAGCCAACCCCAAAACTTCGACATTTTCTTCAAAAACCTGAAAATCAGTCAACTCAACCACATGCAATCCATGAAATGAAGTGCCTACGCTCCATACAACTCAAAAACAAGCTTAGATTCAACATGCAAGAATCAAATGCATAAAAATCATCAAAAACCCCATTTTTCCCAAAATCCCAAAAAATGAGAACTTCATCAATTCATACATCAATTTGAGTTTCTAAACTCACATACAACCAAACAATTCATAATCTAGTTTCCCTCATCTGAAAATTGACTCAAAATGGTCAAAAATACGAAGAAGAA